GGTTGAGACCACTGATCTAAGGAAGAGAGGTCAGTGCCCCTGACTAAATAGTCAGGTATTGCATATTTTAAAAATTCTTTTGAGGCACATGGTTGAAAATCACTGCTATAATGCATCACTGTATACTGTATTGTGTGTTCACCACCTCACGTCAAGTCTCCTTCCATCACCATTTATCCCCACTCATTTCCTTCTGGTAATCACCATACTGCCTATGAGCTTTTTGTTTGTTTGTTTGTTTTTTTGCTTAATCCCTTCACCTTTTTTACCTAGCCCCCGAACCTTCCTCCCCTCTGACAGCTGTCAGTCAGTCTGTTCTCTGTATCTATGATTCTGTCTTTATTTTGTTGTTAGTTTATTTTGTACATTAGATTCCACATGCAAGTAAAATCATAAGTTATTTGTCTTTCACTTAGCATAATACTCCAGGCCACCTCACACCTATCAGAATGGCTATCATCAACAAATCAACAAACAAGTGTTGGCGAGAATGTGGAGAAAAGGGAACCCTCGTGCACTGTTAGTGGGAATGCAGACTGGTGCTGTCACTGTGGAAAGCAGCATAGAGTTACCTCAAAAAATGAAAAATGGAACTGCCTTATCACTCAGCAATTCTACTTCTGGGAATATATCCTAAGAAATCTGAAACACTAATTCGAAAGAAGACACGCACCCCTATGTTCATTGCAGCATTATTTACAGCAGCCAAGACCTGGAAGCAGCCCAAGTGCCCATCAGTAGACGAGTGAATAAAAAAGCTGTGGTACATTTACTCGAGGCTTTTAATGGAGAACTTTGAGACCTTTCACCCCTGGCTGCGTGCAACTGTGACTGCAGCATTCTGGACAAACAGCAGAGGGCACTTTAAGCCTAGTGCATTTGCTCCATCTGTGCTCCTCTTTAGCAATCCAGCAAGTTCCAAGGATGTGAATCTGGGTCGTCATTTATCATGTGCTCTCTGCTGCAGCATGTCCTTCAAGAACTATGACTAAAACAGACCATGTCTTCAACAAATAGACAGTAGTAGCTTATATATAAATGCACTCGCTTAAAAAAATTGTTGCCAAATTAGCAATGAAAAATAAAAAGATTATGAAGGCATCATAATAGTCTCAGCTTGTATTGTAAATTATATTATACTAGAGGCCCGATGCACGAAATTTGTGCATGGGTAGGGTCCCTAGGCCTGGCTGGCGATCAGCGCCGATCGTTTGGTCGATTTGCATATTAGGTTTTTATTATATAGGATTCCAGTTCTTAGAAAAACCTTAATCAAAAGGTTATAGAGAGCAAAATATCTTCACCTTTAAAAAAATTGAGATATACTTGACATAAAACAATGTATGTGTTTATGAAGTTTCTTCACTTTCTTCTTAACCCTAAGGGGTGATTCATTTTGTTTTTAAAGTGAAACACATTTTTCTTAAAATCACAGTTTACTTGTGAATGAGAAATCTGTGGCTCTACATTATACTAAACAGTAACATCTTCATGAACTTGCTAAATTCTGTAACTTTTGTATTTGGTTTATAGTGAGAGGACTATATTTCTTAGGTTGTCTAAATAAATCTGGTTTAGCAATGAAACATTTTAAGCACTTGAAAACCCAGGGCAGGAGTGGGGGAAGGGAAGCTTTAACACAAATGGTATTAAGTGCTATAAAACTCTAATTTTAAGCTATTGTAAAAGTTAGCTTGTGGTCATGTATAAATGTTAAAGATACACATGCTTTAAACCTGACACTGAGAAAAATGCACAAGGAGAGTCAAGCATTTGACTCTGCAGTCATCATAACTTGCATTTAACAAACTGGAAAAGGAAGCAATGGTGCAGAAATTACAGTCAGTGGAGAATCTAAACATGCAGGAGCCAAAGAAATTCATAAGTTTTCTTTCTACAGCAATGGCACCCAAGATGCTTTCGATATCATCTTTTGAATAAGAACACTGTAACGACATAGTATAAATACATCGTGGGTCTATGGGAATCATTACAAAATATGATGATTTTAATATATTTGAATTCTCCATTATTGCAGGATAGAGTGGGTTTTTATCTCATCCAAAGGGGAAAATGCCTATTCTGTAGGTAGAGGACTATTCTGTAATATATATTCCGTAAACTTTAAATATTAAAATAATTTTGAGTAAACTGTCGGGTTCTTGGGGAACAAAGTATGTAACCATATTTACAGATGAGTTAGGTCATTCAACTAAAATATTGGGAAAGTCAATAATTATGATACCTAGCAATTTCTTGATAATCTTTAGATATAATTTTCTAAAGGCATTTCCCACAGGTACTTTAGCAAATAAAACAAGCTGAATAAAGGATTAGATGAATTCCTGTTCAAGTAAACTTGAGTCTGCTGCCTCAGTTCCAAAGCAGATGGCATAACATGAACACAGGTCCTTCCTGCACAAAAATATCTCCAGCCACCAAGGCTGAAACAGTTCCACTATGAAAGTACCCCTTTGAGAAGGGATGTTACTCATATTGGCATAGCGTTTTATGACTTGTGTGGGCATTTCATGCTCATTACACACTTCCTCCTTACTACATCCCTATCTGGGCACTAGGCTAGACCTTCCAACAGGTCCCTTTGGTTGAAGAACTAACACTTAATGGACTATATGGGATGAGTCTTAAACTCAAGTTTGTAGACCTTGAAGCTTGTGTCTGTTAGTTATAAGGACAGAACAGTAATACATAAGCTCCTATAATTCAATACTACACCTTCCTTTTGTAGTTTTGGTAGTAGTTACTTAGCACAAAAGAACATTTGAGAAAGTCATGACCAAACCAGGGAAATCTGGAAAAGAATTAAGAGGACTGCTATATGAGAATATCAGAATTGGGGCAGGGGGCGTCCATGAGTAGTGATTCATTCAAGAAATGTTTCTTGGGTGCCGGAGGCAGCAAGAAGCTCTCGGTATCTTATGGTAGGAGACACTAAAGAAGATGAAGAAACAGGAGGGACAAATCATGTCTATTTCATCAATTTTTATGTTGTTTGCCTGGATATGCCTTTGAGGATTTCAGGACTTATACCTACAGGCCTAGGGGTAAAAATTCTAGCTTCTCCCAAAGAATTTAATTTACAACAAGAAGTAATTTACTATCTAGAAGAATGTGAATTAATAACACTGTCTAGATACATACCTATGATAAAATATTTTTCAATACAGAATAATAAAAATGTTTAGTAATGCCAATTTGTATCTTCTATGTACCAACTATCTCAAAAGACATGAGACATTTTTTTTGCTATCAATACTGCCTGTTTATTACAGGAATGCAATATCATTTCCTCTTTTACTAAAGAAACCAAATGTCAAAGAAAATTAAGATGTTTAAGTTACATAACTAGCTTTAAACAGGGGCATTGAAGTAAATAGTTTCCTTTCTTAATGCCCATTTTGCTAGACCCACCACCTTGAAATCCCAAGTTGTTGGTTTGATGTGTGACAATTTTTGTTTTAAGAATCTGAGAACAATGCCCTGAATAAAGCCAGTAAGGTCTTAAAATGTTATATCACTCTCCAATTCTATTTTTTTAAATTCTTCCTTTGAACAAAGAAAACAGTAAGTATATTCATAGTAAGTAATTACTAGTTCTTATTGTGAAAAGCTATATGTATATTTTAATCCTTGTAGGAGATTAAGAAAATCCTTTTGCTCCCAGTGAATTTAAGTGCAACAAACAAACAAACAAACCAAACAAAAAGCCCGAACACACACAGAAGCAGAACAAGAAGAAAGATCCTGTTTAAGAGGCACTTTACGTTGAGGTGGTTTTCAGAACTGAGAGTTGTGAGCCGGCACTTTGAGATCAAGGAAAACCTCAGCGGGGCGTTAAGACTGACAAGCAGCACTGTTAACAGAGCCCGGAAAGGAGAGAAACATGAAGCACGGGTTGCTTTAAAAATGCCTCCCAGCACGAGCATGGCCCCTTCCATGCAGAAAGCAAAGGTTAATAACCATCCTTCTTAAATAGTCCTGACAGAGAGCTAGATACCTGTCTCTTTAGACACGACAGGTGGGTATGCAAAGACACATGCTTAATGGTATAAGGATAACATGGGCCAGCTCAGAAATGCCTAGCCACCCAAATTATAATAATCATGCTATGAATAATACTGAGAAGCAGTGTATGTCTTTACCCAGGTGATTACAAATATCTTACCAACACTGAGCAGAAATCATTTCCCCATCCCACTCATGAGAAGGAGGAAGCTGGGGAGACTGCCTTTTTAAAGGTGTATAGTTTTCATTGATTTCAGAGAGGAAGAGAGAAAGAGAGACAGAAACATCAATGATGAGACTCATTGATTGGCTGCCTTTTGCACGCTCCACACTGGGGATCGAGCCTGCAACCGGGGCATGTGCCCTGATCAGGAACTGAACCGTGACCTCTTAGCTCAGCGGTTCTCAACCTGTGGGTCACGACCCCTTTGGCGGTCGAACGACCCTTTCACAGGGGTCGCCTAAGACCATCCTGCATATCAGATATTTACATTACGATTCATAACAGTAGCAACATTACAGTTATGAAGTAGCAATGAAAATAATTTTATGGTTGAGTCACACAACATGAGGAACTGTATTTAAAGGGCCAGAAGGTTGAGAACCACTGTCTTAGCTCATAGGCTGGTGCTCAACCACTGAGCCACACTGGCCAGGCAGGGGAGATTGCTTTAAAGGTGCTAGTGAATAATACCAGATGTATCTGCAGGGGGGACAAAAGGCGAGGAATTCAGAAGGAAAAAAAACAAAACAAAAAGAAAACCCACTACATTTATTTATCAGACATCTTCCTGTTTCCCTAGAAATAGATCTTAGTGTCCACTTTTAGAGATGATTAGGCTAGAGTAACACACTTGGTTTGGAAAGAATTCTTTTCATTATCCTTCAAGTGAATTTAATTGATTAATAGTGTTCACACTTCATTCTATTGACTGTGGAGAGCCTGGCCCTGATCTGGGGAGTGAAGGGGAGAGGGAGGAAGATGGGAGACAGTGGCCTCCACGGAGTGTCTGGCGCATCCCAGCACTGTGTTGGGAAGTTTGTGCAGTAGAAGACGATGCAGGTACCTCTGGTTCGCCCACAGAGACAATGTACACATCTGTCTATTAACACATGGTAGGTAGTTACATCCCGAGGAAGCGTACTGACACATCTGCTTATCCTGTGTCTAAGTAAATCTCTTGGTAATTAGCATGTAAACCAGCTGAGAAGTGGGTGGACCAAAGGCTTTCACAGCAAAAACATGAACAGTTTCTAAACAAGCCCATCCAGCTGCCTTTATTTTAAAGTAGAAATGCAACTTACAATTTGTAGCTGTTGCACCATTTCTTCTCGGTAGGCTAGTTCCCTTTTCATCTGGTCCTGGAAATTATCTAGCAGGAGAGAGAAATAGAGACAGAAATGAATTAAAGTGCAAAATCTACTTTTAGCATATTTTGTGAAAATATTACTGACAGCCCCATAGAAAACCCCTCCCCTATCTAAATATATAAAAGCCTAATATAAAGTGTCCCCTTGGGTGTTCGACCAACCGGGAGTTTGACTGTTCGCTATGATGTGCGTTGACTACCAGGGGGCGGCTTGGAACAAAGGAAGGCCCTGGCCACAGCCGGCAGCTGCTAGGGACCCTACCTGTGCACAATTTTTGTGCACTGGGCCTCTAGCTTGATATATATTAAAAGTAAATAACATGGTTGTTTGAAGGAATGTTTTCAAGATTCTATAATTTAATCAGAATAGACAGTAAACTCTGAGGGGGTAAGGTCTATATCTTACATTTCACAGTATCTCACAACCCATGTAGTACAATCCCATGCGCATCATCACTCTCAGGAATGTCTCGGCAATCCTGTTTTCTGGCCTTTGCACACGTGAGAAAGTCGCAAGTACCTCAAGCTTCCACTGCCTTCAGAAGTTCAGAGGGAGGGAGAGGGTGCACCTCAGATCACAGGGAATGAGGACCCCTGTACACAAAATGCCGTCTGGGTGATAAAATGTGGGTCCATTAGATATGGCTGCCTGGCTTCACTGCAGCCTGTCCCACTCCTAAAAAGAGTGCCTGACTGCCAACCTGCACACTTTCTCTCCCTGTATCAGCCTTATTTTATGGTCCTTCCTGGGCCTGGTTCAGTTCTGCAGGCCCCGCCTCTATGTGAGAAGTATCGTTATGCAAACTATCTTTGCCATTCTACATACTGATCATTTTTAAATTGCATTTATGGAAAAAAAATGACTTCCAATGTATATATCATGTTGTTGCATTTTCTAGATGTGGTCTTTTAAAAAAAATGTAGGCTTAGCCAACTGCCTTTTTCTGCTTTAAATGGTAACACAGTGTCATATTGCATCTGTGGTGGATAGTCAGGTCAGCAGTTTAAAGGAACCAGAAACACAGTCATCACCTTTCCCCCTTCTCTTCAGCCAACTGGTGTGCGAGTCCTGTACATTCTACTCTCCATCCTCCCCTCTCTTTGCCATTACAGTAACTCCAGCTCTGCCCTCACTCCTCTCAGGGCGGCAGTAGGGCTGTGAGCCGCTCCTTTTCCTCTGGTCGTTGAGGGGTCGGATGCAGTGCACCTGCGTGTCTGGCCTGTGTCCCTCCGGCTGCAGGGCGGTGAGTCTCTCGTGGGTCGGTTCCCAGAGCCCCATTGGCTACAGACTCACCCGTCACGTCTCATTCTGGCTGGCTA